AAAATGTGGGATGAATTGCCCATACAGTCAAGCCCCTTCATAAGAGACACTTCGATAACGAACACAAGTATGCCTACATTTGTTTAAGAGGCACTGGTGTGCCTACATAGAAATAGGAGTTGATAAGAAAATGCATACATGGTATCCTGCTTCTAAGGGACGCCTTGCATAACAGACAACAGTTGCCCGTCAGTGCGTGCCTCTCATAAACAGGTTCAGCTTTATCTGTAGATAGCTTTGCTTAGAGCAGCACGGTATTGGCATGGTCAGAAGAGATGTGGTGGTCTGCTAACTAACAAATTCTTTGCGTCATTGACTACACTCCACCGTTTGTCCTGCTTGTTTCCTCCACACACCCTGTTATACACTTTCTGTACACATTAAACAAAGCATAAGTTCACCAGAGCACGCCCAAATTACGAATATTTTATAGTAAGTACTATTCCATTCCTTGATTCATTCATTTGGAAGACTTTGCACCACACAATAACTTTTGGAAAAAGTGATAACTCGACTATTTTTTCCCAATTGCATGAATCTACCTAAAATTAGTACAGGGTACTACATTTACACAGCTGTATAAGCCAGCATTTTTTTACTATATTTGAGATATGAAGTATATTATTACGACGTGTATGTGCCGGATTGATAAGAGGGAATAGAAGTGTGGACTTGGGAAGAAGAAGATCTCTCGGCAGTTTTATCCGGTGCGGCCTCGCCATCCCAGCTTCCGTTCAATAAACCCCCGTACCCCTACTTCAGGCGTAACAGAGTGGTGGAGGTGCTGGGTACAGTATACGTCGACGAACCACGGAGCCACAGCTGTTCGAACTTCGCCGGAGCCGTCGTATTGCCGGTCTGCCACCGACACCAACTGCCATGGCCGAGAGCGAAGGTCACGCCTTCTCAACCACACAAAGGTCAGTGCCAGCTGCACCTCGATATCACTATATGGAACCCCGCCCGTTCGCGGGAAGAGCAGAAGAAGATGTGGATGCGTGGCTGACACAGTACAAAAGGGTGAGCCGGTACAACTGCTGGGATGCCACCGACCAACTGGGAAATGTCGCGCTGTTTCTCACGGAAACAGCTCTGATGTGGTACGAAAACCACGAAGATTCCTTAACAACGTGGGATCGTTTCACTGAAGAGCTCAAGAAATGCTTCGGCGACTCTGATTCAAAAAAGAAGAGCGCGGAGCGCACGTTGGCTCAAAGAGCTCAGACTCCTGGAGAAACGTGTACCACCTACATAGAGGAGGTCCTGATGCTCTGCAAGATCATAGACCCGTACATGACTGAAGAGGACATGGTCGGCCACCTTCTGAAGGGTATAGCAGAGGACGTCTACAACTTTTTGATAGGCAGGGAAGACCTCACTTCCGTCTCCGCCGTCCAACGTCACTGCCGTACTTTTGAGAAGCTAAAGACCCGTCGTATTGCCCCGAAATTTGGTAGGCTGGCAAATGTAACAACGGTCGCCAGCGTCGACGTGAGCCCGCCCGCCGACCTTGCCGCTACTATCCGGACAATAGTGCGGGAAGAACTACAGCGACAAGACACACTGTTCCACGACACCATCCGCCATACGCCTACCTGTTCATCCTACTACCCGGCCCCGTTCGCTCCTCTGCCACCATCAGTATGTGTGACAGACGTTCGCGAAGCTAGGGCTTCGTGGCCACGCCGAGACTCATTCGCGTCTGACCAGCGGTATGACCAACGTCTTCGTCCCGGCCCCGCCCCACAGAGGCGCGCAGCTCCCGTTCAGCAATCTGCTCCACCCCGTTCGGTTAGGCGACCCTACACAGCCCAGCGCTCTCAGCAGTGGTTCGGCGAGCGACCCCTACCCATCTGCTACAACTGTGGCGTCGAAGGCCACATTGCCAGGTACTGTAACTACCGGCAGCCGCCGAGGTACGACTGGCCACCGAGATCCCACCTGTCCGACTTTGCACAAGCACCAACGTTCCCTGGAAGCGCATCTTACGAGACACCAAGGCCGCTGCGAAACCGTTCTCCAGCCTCTGACCGCAGTCTGACACCCCCGCCAGCCCCTCGCTCCAATCGGTCGCCGTCTCCTAGGCGCCGCTACCCTTCGCCGCCTCCGGAAAACTAGGCAGCGCGGCCGCTGGGGGTGAGGTCGCTGGTGATTCGCTGCAAGAAGAGATACCTCCACCGGTGCTTATGTTTAAAAACAAAGTGCAAGTTTTTGTTGATGGTGTACATACGATGGCTTTGGTGGACACTGGAGCCGCCGTGTCGATCATGAGTGCTGCGTTCAAAGCTCGTTTGGGAAGAAAGGTGACCTTTTTGTTGGAGAAAGCGATAACGTTCTGTGGCGTGGGCGGCAACTCGTTGTGTCCGATTGGTGTTTGTACCGCGGCAGTGTTACTGAGTGATCAAGTGTTTGTGACAGAATTCACGGTTCTTCCGCGGAGCACTCATGACATCATTCTAGGCATAGATTTCTTGCGAATGTGCGGAGCCACTGTAGACTGTCGAAATGGCGAAGTTATCATAAGTGACGCTGTTCCTCATGGACTTATCGAGAATTCGGGTACGGAAAGCGGTGCGCTCCGAGTCTATGAAGATACCGTTATCCCGGCCTTCTGTGCTGTGCGCGTTCCAGTAGCTTCTTCGCATATTAACGACAATAAGACCAGTTTCGATGCGCTAGTGGAGCCTTTCCATCTAAGTTGTATAAAGAAGAACACGTTGGTACCCCACAGCATAGTTTCAGTGAGTGAAGGTCGTTCAGACCTTTGGACAACGAATTATTCAAACGAACCGGTGCTGCTACCAGGAGGACTTAAGCTAGCGTCGTTTAAAGAATACTCGCCAACAACAGTAGCTGTCCTCAGTGACGTTCGACGGGATGAACAAGTGACCGCCTGCTCAGACAGTTCGAAAGTTTTACCTATGGTTGATAAGGCGCTGACTGCCGACAAGCGCAGAATGCTTGTGGACGTTTTGTTAAAGTACTTGCAAGTTTTTGATTTCTCCCAGAGTGACCATACGCCTTCCATTCCTCCATTTCGTATACGCCATAGGATAAATACACAAACAGCACAGCCAATCCGACAAAAACCGTACCGAGTATCGCCGTCCGAGCGCAAGATAATAGACAATCAAGTGCGTGAAATGCTCCAAAAGGGCATCATTCAAGAATCATCGAGCCCTTGGGCAGCTCCTGTGATCCTTGTGAAAAAGAAAGACGGTACCTGGAGATTTTGTGTCGACTATCGCCGTTTGAACTCCATCACGAAGAAAGATGTTTATCCTCTTCCACGAATTGATGACGCCTTGGACTGTCTCCATTCGGCGTCATACTTCTCGTCTATCGATTTACGTTCAGGCTACTGGCAGATTCCCATGCATCCAGCGGACAAGGAAAAGACTGCTTTCATAACTCCAGACGGACTTTATGAATTTAACGTGATGCCGTTTGGATTATGTAATGCTCCTGCCACATTCGAAAGGTTCATGGATACCATTCTGCGTGGCCTAAAATGGAACGTCTGTATGTGCTACCTAGATGACATCGTGATCTTTGGGCGCACATTTCGTGAGCACAACGAACGCGTGGACATTGTTCTGGAATGCATTAGAAACGCTGGCCTTGTTCTTAATTCGAAGAAGTGTCATTTCGGCGAGCGACAAACCTTAGTACTTGGGCACCTTGTGAACAAAGATGGGATCAGGCCTGACCCGAGCAAGACAGCAGCTGTGAAAGCGTGCAAACCACCTCGCTCAACGAAAGAGCTTCGCAGCTTCCTAGGCCTGTGCTCGTACTTTCGCCGATTTATTCCCGCATTCGCCGACGTTGCCTTCCCCTTGACCAGTCTGCTACGTCAAGGTACTAGCTTTGAATGGACACATGACTGTGAGACGTCTTTCAACCAACTCAAGTTCTTACTCACATCGCAGCCCATTCTCCGACACTTCGACCCTTCGGCGCCGACCGAAGTTCATACTGACGCCAGTGGCATTGGCATAGGTGCAGTTCTAGTACAACGACACAGTGGAAAGGAACATGTCATTGCGTATGCCAGCAGAACTTTAAGTAAACCAGAACGGAATTACACAGTGACTGAGCAAGAATGTTTGGCACTCGTCTTCGCTGTACAGCGATTCCGTTCATACCTGTACGGTCGTCCATATTATGACATCAGTTATTTTCACCTCAATCAATGCATTTTCAACAAAAGGTAACAAAAAGATGAAGATAAAAACAAGTACCATTTACAGTGAGGATAGCAGGATACGAGCAACAATACCTACAACTTGATCAGACCCACCACATATTTTTTTATATTGCACATCCACAAACATACACGCATATACCACTTTCAAAAAAAAATTATGGCCCATCTTCTCAAAAGGAACCATGATAGAATGCGCAAAGCAGCAGCAACGTGCACGCGGTTGACCTGGCTGAAACGAGCATCGACACAGGTGCTGGAAGAACAATTTGAAGCAAAACTCAATGTAGCCTTGACTCGAGCGAATGTTTCTTTGAAACACGAAGACTCGGGAGGTGCATTAGGTTTCTTGTAAGTTTCATCACAGATAAACGAGCCGAAAGAGTGTTTCCACTCAACGTGCTGTCTAGGGTTGCGGGCGGTGGAGAGGGTAAAGAGAGGGAGAAGTGTGTCACGGGTGGGCAGAGGAGCAACAGCGCCTAGGTGTGTTGGGAGGAGTCGGCAGCTGCTGGGGTTGAGGGAAAGAGTGACGTGAACGCACAGCTGCGCATCGTTCCAACAATGGTGGCGGGGGGGGGGGGGGATGTGGTGCGGCACGTTGTCATGGAGACATGGATGGACAGCGTTACACAGGCTAGTCAAACAGCTGCTTCGCATCTAATATGTAGAAAGAGTCGTTGAACTGACTATTAAATTGCTTTAACGATACAAGGTGTCAAATCCAGTTCGCCAAACTCTCAATTCTTACATTTTAGTGCAGCCAAAAACAGCCCAAAGGAAAAAAGCACCAACTCACCGATGCCCGGCTCAATGTAGAACTTCTCCGTAACCACAGGGTCAACGGCTGTGGTGATTATGCGAACCTTGGGAAACGCGTAGGCGACCGAGTGAACACCAGACTCAGCCATGAGAAGAGACACGAGCATGATGTTCTCTTCAGGCACGTCATGGTCAAGCAGCACCCGCACAGCCATGATGGATGCCGCTCCAGTCGCCACTGTGGCGTCCATTAGTAGGATGGTGTAGTCCTGTATGTAACAGCACGATATAAATGGAGTACTATACTTCTTTTGGCCCCGAGTCATCTTTCTACCTTCCAAGTTTTATAGAATTACCTAGATAATGGACCCAACTGCCTCACCACTCATTAAATGCAAACTTTCTCGCTACATGCAAGGCAAAAGTTGCAGTGTCGATCCCCACAGTCGCCAAGTTGTGCTTCCATCCTATCCGTCCATCCAATTTTAACCTCTATTTATCTCATAATTGCTCCACTTATATTAACTATAAATAAAGCCGCTAAGCTCTAGTCGACTTTGTAATTTATTGGCTTTGTACAGTTGCATAGTTCGTAACGACTCCTACCTCCCAGATAAGCTATTCAGCACGACATCCGAGTTTCATAGCCACTGTGATGAGCACTGCTCCATGACACTGACCACAGACCAATATGTACTCACATGAAATGGCAAGGCTATAAAACTCATAATACTTATAAAAAATGGCCTAAACAAGAATGCTAGCATCATGCGACTTTTAAAAGAAAATCAGCTCCACCAACACACACACTTAAACAAAACACCAACATGCACAACCTCAAACCCAGAGGAATAGTTCAGCTTGCTATGGTGGGCTATAGCGCGACCGCGTACCTTTATGTCTTTGGGCAAGCGTAGATAGTAGAGCTCAGGCTCTCCTGTGCTCTGATTGGTCTGGATGAGAATCTTTCCCAGCCGGACATCCTTCAGGACGTCGCACAGAGCCTGCTCCATAGTCTCGCCCGCACGAAGGATGGACACACCGCAGATCTTCCCGGCCGCACTGCGCTTTCCATTGTAGCTGATGCCCTGCATCGAAGAGACAGCGTGAACAGCAGTGAGGGTAGAAAGAGTCCAGCCTGGCAGCACTGGTCATCTGGTGTACACTGACGCCTTCCTTTGGATATGCTGAATTACATAATCTGCTTCACATCAGATTGCTCAGACAAGGTAGACAATCAGGTCTTATATGTTATTTCTGTGTGGCGAGATTGGCTGCTATAAAAAAACCCAGAATGGTGCAGCATAGACCACTTATAATGTAAACTGCCAGAGTCACAAATATTCGCACTGTAAGCTGTACATGAACAAACATGACCAATGGGCAGTCGCGTCATTCTGACTATTGAGGACATGCAGATTTGCGAGTAAATTTGCAAATGCTGAAAGGTTAACGTACATGGACAACAATTGTTAACATAACAGAGAGAAAAAAGAAAAGGAAGATTGCCATAGTGGAAGGCCACTGACAAATTTTTGGACCTCCTCCAAGTGAAACTGCGGACTTTGCCACAGTTCCACACAGCACAGAAAGTGTGTCGAACAGCCTTTAAATTCCAGAGCCTTCCGATTGTTCAGGTTGAGGGCACAATGTCAAAAACAGTTCCCACAATGAATCACCCCTCTAGTGCGGCAGATGCGTGCCCCCCCATTTAAGCTGAAAAAACGTGCCATTGATCCAGCCCCCACTCTCGCCACTTTTATAACCTCGGCCACTACTGATCAGGCCGCTATCGCTAGCTAGGCCTAGGATGCAGGCTGCAAGATGGCATGTTGTTGCCGGAAGCTTGCCCGAGACATAACGAATATTGGGCATAAAATATACTCCCAAAGTAGACAGTGGGCAGCACGTGTGAAACAGTTTCGGTTCACAGTCGGGAGAACAGCCGTGCATTATCTTAAAGAAGTCTTCCAAGCTTGCACCTCCACCTGCCGGTGGCAACGGTAACAACTTGTTTGCGTCCTAAAACATTGTTTCTTATATGATATCTGCACTCTGCGACGTCGCAACTTATCCCGACAGAGAACCGAAGAGGAAAACAGCAATATTGCGCACTTGATGCAAGCAGCGGAGCCGGTTCAGAGCAAGGCGCAAGCACTACAAGCAGCAGAGCAAAGGAAGCAAAGGTTTCTCCACTGACTCAGCAATTGCTCCCCCACCTCCCACAACATGCCTGCGTTAAAGCACACTTTATAACTCTACCCTTACAACGAATACCGGATATCACAAACTAATTTTTGGTCCCGAAGTTGCTTTATTGTAACGAGATGTGGCTTTACGCAAAATGAGCTCGGCTACTCACTTGAGGAGTCTCCACGGTGGCATCCCGAAAGGGCAGCTGGGCCACAGTGTACTCCATGAGGAGGCGCATGAGTCGTTTGGAGTAGAAGATGAACTCGTCACGCTGCGTGGCCCGGTTGCGGATGAAAGTGTGGATGCCACGCAGCTGAGGCGTCTGTGGCAGTAGGTGCAGCGAGGCCGGCAAAGGCTGGTCGGTGTGCGATTCGGCCATCTTGGAGCGTAGTTTCAAGCCCCGCTGCAGAGCAAAGACAAAAAATAGTAAAAAAAAACGACCTCCCGTTAACCATCGACCCTTAAGCTCCCAAGACAAAATCGAAATACACAAATATTGGTTGGATGACAACCTTACAATGGGCAAAACAAGGCAACACAGTAGAACCCTACGCACCAAAGCAGATGACAAGATAATAAAAGATGCGAGCTGTTAAACATTCAATGTTATAAAAGATGTGTGGTTAAATTTTATACAGTCAAAGCCCTTTTAGGAGGCATGCTCCGGTCATGCTCTTATAAGCAAGGTACCTCGTATGCATCTTTTTATCAACCCTTATTTCAATGCAGACACACCGGTGTCTCTTATACGCATCTGGCTCTTATATCAGTCTCTCCTATAAAGGGGTTCGACTGTACTTCAATAAACAATTACATACAATATACAGTATACAGTCGAGCTCACTTATAACGAAACTGAGCGTGATGCGGCATCCTATCGCCGTATCCGAAGTTCGTAGTAAATGAAACCCAGCTTTTAAAAAAAGTTGCGAGTGAGAACTTTTTTGCCCCAAAAAGTCCATGATGCATGTCTTTCGAAGAGCAGAAGCGATAAGGGCGGTCTCGAGTTCATTTAAAACAGCACTGTGCTTGTTCACCGAGGCCCGTGACAAAAGCTGCATGAGGCACTGGCGCCAAAGTTTGGTTGTTCTCGCAACCTGATTCCTCCAAATCGCTCTCACCACGTACTTCATTAACAATGCCCCAATCCGTGCACAGTTCCGTAGTATCGGCATCTTCATCGGCCGTAATTAAACCATCGTAACTGATGTCCCACCCACTCTTCGAGGTCGGAACCGACAACGTGCTGCCACAAATCACCGCCGCAGTTCGGAAGCTTCAGGCTCGGCATTGTGCCCGACGTCGACGAAGTCGGCCTCGCGAAAAGTTTCGCGCACATGTTGTCGTCACCACCGCCCACGAAATATTCACCACTTCCAAAGCTGAATACCAGGACGCCCGAAGCGGCAAGTTGGCAGCCAGGTGGTCAACAGCTATGAGCAAGCGCTCCGCAACGTGGCACTTAACGCGCGGATTACGCTCAAGCCAAGCGGTTACACTTACGACGTTTTGTTGAGTGGCAGGAAAAAGCGTGCCAGTCCTCCCGTCGGCCATCACCACCACACACGCATACCAAGTGCGAGCAAGACGCACATGCAGAACACACATGCCAGAATGCGTGGAACAGCTCTGGGCCCGTTTCCAGTCATAACAGACTTGCGAGAGAAGGGCAAGGAGTTGCGATAAAGAGAGGGGAGGATGCGGCGGGAGGGCGACCTTGAAAACCAAAACACACGGGAAGGAGGCAGGTTGGGTAGCTTGCTTGAAAGGTCCGCGAAACTCGCACGTAGAAAAACTTGGAAAGAGTGCTTGCGCGCGCAGAAATCAAAGCATGGTCGCCTGGATCGGTGAGCGCGGCGGTGTTCCAAGAACCGCGGCCGTGGTCAAAAAATCGTTTTGTTGCGCTGGCGGGTTTGCGTGGCCTCACGAACTGCGATAACTTGTGATTCGTTCCATACAAATTAACAGCCGTTTTCGCGCCTTTGCACGTGCTCGGAAGGCATGCTGAGCTGAGTGCGAAGTGAGCAAGAACAAGTCCTAAACACGACACAAATCGCAAATTATCATAGTCGGTGGGGTAGCATACGCGCGTGCACTAGACGCAGACTATCGGATAGAGTCGGTGGCCGACAATGTTGGCATATGATCTGGTCACTCCAGGCCGGCGACGCCAACGACAGTACCAGCGATCAAAAACAGGGTAGATGGCTGACCGGTCTTCGAAATATCGGTGGCAGTGTGAAAACACGGGCCTCGTCTGGGGATGCGGGGTGCTCAGAGTAGAGGGAAGACAAAGGACGGAGGGGTGCGGAACAAAAAGCGGTCGGGGCATGGAGGAAGGAAACACCTTTCCTTCCTCCATGGGTTGAGGCGTCACCCCCGGAAAATCTTTTCAGGCCTGCGCCCAGCAATCTGACGTCATTTCCGGCCGGCCGACTCTTGGGGAAGCCGCAGCGGCAGCGAGCGCAGCGCGGGCGGCGGTGGTGACGGTTCGGCGGCGTGGTGTTGACGGTGTTTCGCGTTTGTTGCTTTCCGTTGTTGTTTTGCGGCAATTTCGTTTCCGTGCGTGATGCTGGAGTGATGCGACAATGCCGAATAAGTGTTGTGTACCCGGATGCACCGGCAACTACAAAACAGGAAAGAAGATACAAGTGTTTTCCTTCCCTAAAGACGCCGACGCTCTCAAACAATGGCTACGCGCCATTCCTAGGAAGGACTTCGTGCCGACTTCGTGCACTAAGGTAAGAATTTGAGATGCTCCTGTTCTTAGCTTGTCGTTGCTTGTTCGGGTAGAAATCACCTATGATGGGAAATACTTGAGCGTGTGGCCGCCGGGCCTCGCGAAGCGCTGACGCCAGCAGCGTTCGCAGCAAGGATGGTCAGCTGCGCTTTGTTCACTAACAGTGCCGTGGTGTCGTCCATTCTTGCAAGCTCTCGGTGGAAGCGCTTCGTGGAGTGCGGTGACATCACGCTCCCGTGTTTCCTTTCATGTTGCTTGTACCGCTTAGCGCAGCGCTTTTATTTAGATGCTTGCGAAACGTAGGTAGACTTTGTTTTAGCTACACGGACTGTAAACACGGTCATGCAAACGGGAGCGCATTTTTTTCTTTTGAGAAGTGGCGTCTCAGACGTTCTTGAAACGTTTGTGCAGGTGTGCGCGGATCATTTCGACGCTTCATGCATCGAGAAGACGACATCGTACACGGATCCAAGGACAGGGAGAGTTATTGAAGTTGCACTCCCAGTACCACGGTTGCGTCCTGGATCTGTCCCAACGGTATTTCCCGGCTGTCCGTCCTACCTATCAGTACGAGACCAGAGCACGAGAGAAACCCCTGACGCCAAGAGGAGCCGACAAGAAGCCTCCCAACTCGCCCGTGCTGTAGAAGAGTCGCTGGCGTCACATGAAGCGGAGCAAGAACGAGACCGGTTTTCGTCCCTCGAAGAACTAAGGGCTCGCCTGCAAGGGGTGTCAGTGTCTCCGAAGTGGACTGTGATTCATAAAGAAGAGTGCTCCATGTTTTTGAACATTATCGACTATCGTGAACCTTGTTTGAATGCGTCATTGACCGTGTTTGCAAACCTTGAAGTCTTTGCCTGCTATCAAGGTTCACCAATCAAGAACCTTGGTAGCGCTGTTGTACCAGACTCAGTTCAAAAAGTAAGTTCCTTGTTGGAAATTTTGAACAACCTGTCGATGCTGTCTGAGGAGCGCTGCACTTATCGCCACCTGGCTCAAGCAATACATTCCCTTCTGGACAAATTGGAAGCCAGCATTGATGAAGGCAAGAAAGAGACGGTGAACTTTATGAAGGAGCAGCTACTACTCCTTTCTGCAAAGCGCATTCAGTATAGCGCACAGGTGATGGTCTTTGCATGCATCTTGCGTACAATATCACCACATGCCTACAAGTTCCTGAGAAGCACAGGTGCACTAACTTTGCCCCACCCAAGCACTATTAGAAATGTGTGCTCGTCTATTCAAATGTGCCCACAAGTTGATTCTTCTGACGACACTTTCCTTCAGTATGTGTCTCAGAGATTCAAACATCTGCAGGCACATGAACAATTTGTTTTGTTTTGAGTTTTATGTGGCAAGATATTGTGTTTTGTACTTTTGGCATATTTTCAGCATTAAGGGCAACATCTTGTGTTGCCTGTCGTCTGCCTGGACCGAGAACAATGCGCACTGTGATATTTGTACAGACGGCGTCTGGCTGTGATAAATAAATATGCATTATTCCATTCACGATATTCATTATTTCTTGATACCTTGATAAGTTCCCCAACCGCGGTGGCTCAGTGGCTAAGGCGTAGCGCTGCTGAGCACTAGGGCGCGGTTTCGATACCCGGCTGCGGCGGCCACATTTCTGATGGAGCGAAAAGCAAAAACGCCCGTGTGTACGAGATTTCGGCACACAATAAAGATTCCCAGGTAGTCAAACTTGATCCTGAGCCCTCCCCTACGGCGCGCTTCATCGCCTGCGTTGCGTCGGCGCGTTAAACCATACAATCAATCGATACCTTGATAAATCGTGCGGACATGGTGTCAAGGCACCTCGCCCGAGTCGGTAGGCGTGAAGGGCGCTCGCGGCAAGCGCTCGCGGCTGGCGCAGCCACCCAGCGAAGGGCGGCCGGCCGGCCGGCGCGATGTGACGTCGTCGACGTCACGTCACGTGACGCGCAGGCCTGAAAAGCTTCCGGGGGTGACGGTTGAGGAGAGCGGCAACTAGAGGGGCGCGGAGGCAGGGTCAGCGTTTAACAATAAGAATGTATGGGCACCTCGCCGATGCCCGATCGGTGGTCGAAATTGGTTTCCCGGGAAGTCGGCAGACCGCTGACTCCGTTCGCTGTAACCGATCAGCAGCGCTCGGAGACCTTCATTGCAAGTGCGATTTCACGCCATTGAACCAATTTATATTTTCACGGTTACGTGGATATTGTTACTTTTAAACGAAGGTTCATTTCAAGTGGGGCCGATATATGTGGACTCGACTGTACATGTTTACTTGGCCAAACAAAATGCACGACAAGGAAGAGAAACGAGGCAAGCAACAGAACCACTGTGCATGCTTTTTCCAATATACATATATGTGAGGCATTGCTTTCAAGAATTGTTCATCTAAAGGATGTCTATATAATATAAATGCTTTTCAAAAACAAACATCTAAGTTGAGTTCCAACTTGTGTTCAATTATGTATATATGCCTAAATAGAGACTGTTATATTCTGCCTTCTCTCGAATTATCTAAGAGTGTCACAATTTCAATGGCTTTACCTGAGCAACAGGGAACTGTGCGTTGCTTAGAATTCCAGTGCAATCAGAGTTTATTTCATGCAAATAACTATGGTGTGCAATTGTTATAAACATCATACTTTTCTTATTTAGTATGATATTCTACA